GATCCCAAGTGCTTCATGAAAGTGCTATCATACAGCCCAGATACTTCATGAAAGTGCTATAATATATCCCAAGTGCTTCATGAAAGTGCTATAATATATCCCAACTGTTTCATGAAAGTGCTATAATACCTGGAGTTTACCTGGAGAGAGTTCCGGGGGTCAACGCCCCCGCGGCCCGGTCTGAGACCAGGCCTCCTGGTGGATCAGAGCCTGATCAACCAGGCTGTTGCTGCTGGCTGCACGCAAACCAACATACGAGCCACAGCCCGGCTGATCCGGAACTGACTTTAGGTGCTTGTCCAGTGCCAGCTTGAAGACTGCCAGGGGTCTGTTGGTAATCCCCCTTATGTGTGCTGGGAGGCAGTTGAACAGTCTCGGGCCCCTGACACTTATTGTATGGTCTCTTAACGTGCTAGTGACACCCCTGCTTTTCATTGGGGGGATGGTGCATCGTCTGCCAAGTCTTTTGCTTTCGTAGTGGGTGATTTTCGTGTGCAAGTTCGGTACTAGTCCCTCTAGGATTTTCCAGGTGTATATAATCATGTATCTCTCCCTCCTGCGTTCCAGGGAATACAGGTTTAGGAACCCCAAGTGCTTCTTAAAAGTGCTATAATATATCCCAAGTCATTTATAGAAGTATTGTTATAATAGATCTCAATTGGTTTATAAGAATAAGTTGGTCTGAGGTGATACTATGGCCTGACACTCGTGGTAGATAAGGGATGCAAAGTCTATCAAAAATATATCTTATCTGTCTTACTATTAATAAACATAACTTTTTATATTTAATTTGTTCAATTCAGTGATATATATTACTAGTTACTAGTTTGAAAATATCATAACCTGGGATATTTTATAAGATAATATATTAGTTCCAGTCCAATAGAGTTTTAACATTCAAACCTCCCACCAAAATTTGTCCTCTGTATTTCTAAGTGCAATCTGTGTTATTTATATTTTATAAAGATTTCCGGGTAATTACGTCAAGTAGATAACTCATGCAATATGTCTGAAATTTATAAGATAGTTATAGATGCATTCAGATGAATGGGAATTTATATTCAGTTTCACCTGAGAAATGTATTCAATTTCAGCTGGCAAAACAAGGAGACCCAGATTTGTTTCGTCAAAATTTATCGTCAGAATTTGAAGGTAAATTTCGCGTTTTTCGCCTCCAAATGGCGTTTTTCTTAAGTCTGCTGAGTAGAGAGTAGCCTGGTGTATACATAAGCCTACCTGAGACTCAGGTAAATTGTTGTTTTAGGCAGTAAAGACCTCATTCTCCACTTGTATTATGTTACGATTTTCATTTCTGTTTAAAATTAAAGTTTATGAGATGTGTTTCAGGTGTTTTTCAGGAGCTGGAGTTTTCTCAGGTGTGTTTCATGTGTTTAAAGGGGAATTTATATGCTTAGAGTAGGAAAATGCACCAGAAATTACGAGCCTTGGTATTACTGGCACCTTATATATACTAATATAACAGGTATCTGTCTATAAGTACTGTAAATTGTGGGTTAAATATGAGAGGTCAGCTGCCCACCTGCAGAATGCTGCCAGTTCATGAACATCACTTTAATTTATAAAGTTTAGAAAAAAAAACGTGTAATTTTTATGGTAGGTTAACGTAGTTTAACCTAGTCTAATTTGACCTGATTTGCTAGTTTTAGGAGCCCTGTATGCTGTGAGGTAGTTATAATTATGATAGAACATAAGAAGGAGCACTTCAGTAGGCCTACTGGCCCTTGCTAGGGGGGTCCAACTCTGGTGTGATTTATGTAGGGCCTATGGTAGGCACTCCTGCCCTATGTCAGGCTACTGTCTGCTTTTTCTTGCCATATATGTTCTCTGTGACATTATTTTTGTGAGTGTGATCCCAACACTACAAGAAATATTGGGCGTACTTCCTTACACACTACGTAGGTACCCAGGTGTTAGCCAAGTGTAGTGGGTTGCATCCCGGGGAAGAGGATCAAAAGGGCCATATTGGAAACAAGTCAGTGTCCTATTTATTATTATTTTATTATTGTTATTTATATATTATTGACCTTATTTTCTTGATTTTCCTTTTATTTTTATTTTTCTTCCTTTTTCTTTTTTCTTTTCTTTTTCTTTTTTTCATCTTTTCTTTCTTTTTCTTTTCTGCTTTTCTGTTTCTTTCTCAAGATTTTTTTTCTTTTTCTTTTTTCCTTGTTTTTCTTTCTTCTAATTTCTTCTTCTTTCTTCTCCTCCTCCTCCTCCTTTCTTCATATTTATTATTATTATTATTATATTATTCTATTAACATTATATGATTATTACATTATTATTATTATTATTATTATTACTACATTACTGTGTTATTATTATTATTATTCAACTGTGAGTCATTTTTCACTAATTATTATTATTATTATAATCAAAAAGAAGCGCTAAGCCACAAGGACTATACAGACATTTTTCACTAAGGTAGATTGATCTAGTTACTTAGTTGCTGTCGTGCCAAAAATGCATATATATAATTCAAATGATGCTTATGCGTAATGTGTTATATTATCATTTTTTAAAATTTGAACATCAAAACTGTGTTCTGTTCTTTGTAACTGGCCTTAATAATTAAGAGTTTTTTTTATTATGGTTTTTAATGTACGGTATGCATATGTCATAAGTGCATATTTAAATTTTTCTTTTAGTAATTATACAGATAAAGGGGGGTCACTAACTCCTTGTTTCTGGCAGTTTTTTTTTCTTCTACAATACATATTACTATGGGGGAAATAAAAATTTATAGAAATAAATAGTACGGGCAGTTATGTTAGGAAACACACTGGAAAGCAAGGATAAGTGTACAGAATTCTGATTCTGATTCTTAGATTTACCTGCCATCATTAGGCAGAAGGGCAGACAAGCATAAGACAAAGATTTGTTTCAGTCTGATACAATGTTTGTACAGAGATGGGTGACATTTGGTTGTACATGCAGAAAGTCCAAAAGTATGTAGAGCATTACTGTATTGGAAACTGTTTATCAGGCCTGTAGGATTTGTTTGTTTGTTTGTGTGTGTGTGTGTGCATGTGTGTGTTTGTTTGTTTGTTTATGTACAGTGGAACCACAGTTTTCGTGATTAATCCGTTATAAAAAGTCTTGATGAAAACCGAATTGTACGAAAACTGAAGCAATATTTCCCATAAGAAATAATGTAAATCCAATTAATCCATTCCAGACACCCAAAAATATAACAAAAAATACATTTTATAGAGAATAACTATAGTTTTACAAACAGAAAACAATGAGAAATAAATATAAATGACTAATGAAATGGATAAATGAACATTTAACATCACTTTTACAGTGATGTTGGCATATGAAAGACAACATGGAGGGGACAGGGAGGAGGAGAGGTTATTGTTTGGAAGGGGAATCCCCTTCCATAAGGACTTCAGGTATCAAGTCCCTATATGGGGTTACTCCCTTCTTTGTCTTTTACTGGCACTAGGACCAGCTTGAGAGTCACTGTACCCCTGTCGCACAAAAAATCTGTCCAGATAGGTCTGTTTCTAGCGTCTCTTTAAGATTTGCCTAAAATGGGACAAGGCATTGTCATTGAACATGTTGCAGACACGGCTTGCAACAGCTTTGTTAGGATGATATTTCTCCACAGAACTTTGCAACTCGCTCCACTTTGCACACATGTCCTTAATCACTGAAGAAGGCACATTCTCCCCTCTCTCTTCCTCCTCTTCCTATCAAAGGGCTTGCACTCGGAACTTTCTTTGGCCCCATGGTGGCTTATTTAGAAGTCGCACTCGATAGACAAACAAAAAACAATGGATGAATGTGCGGGGTGATGCTCACTCAACAAGTAACAAAGGCAGACTGAGTCTCAAACGCATGGGATGCTTTATGTGGGCGCTTGAGTGGCAGTGTCATGCGGATGTGTTTGGTACAGGCCATTTTCAACTCTACGAAAACCGAGCGGATGTATGAAAACTGGGACAAAATTTTGACGAAACAAGTCGTTGAAAACTGAATCCTACAAAAACTGGGGCATACAAAAGCGGAGGTTCCACTGTATATATGTACTAAGGACATGTCTTCAGCTATTTTCATTAAGATAAGATAAGATTTTTAACCCCGCAGGGTTAGCCACCCAGGATAACCCAAGAAAGGCAGTGTGTCATCAAGGACTGTCTGTCTTATTTCCATTGGGGTTCTCAATCTTGTCCCCCAGGATGCGACCCACACCAGTTGACTAACACCTAGGTACCTACTTGCTGCTAGGTGAACAGGACAACAGGTGTAAGGAAACGCATCAAAATATTTCTACCCCGCTGGGAATTGAACCCGAGCCCTCCGTGTGTGAAGCGAAAGCTTTACCAGCCAGGCCTCGGGGTTACTTGCCATGGGGTCATTTGCTACTTTTCCTAGCTGTTTCTATCACATTGAAGGTAAAAATGATAGATTTTACTCTTCATTTACAGACTTTGTATAGTATTATAAAAGTGTAAACTTCCAATCTTGATATTACATTTATACAAGTTGGTTATAAAAAGAAGCTTTTTTATAGCTCCCAGGGACCTGGGCATCACCTAAAATAGCCTAAAGAAGTTGGTGCACATCCTCTCACTTGATCAGTGTCTGTGGTTTCTTAAATTTGATTGTAAAAGAAAAAGTATTAAGCTTCATCTGCCATCTGAGGAACATGCTGGTCCTGTAGTTTGATTAGAGGATTTGATGACTGAGCAGTTAATATACGGTGTGGAGAATCCACCAGTTGGCAACTCATGTGTGGTGCCAGGAAAAGGTGCCACTTCATTATTTATTTACATTATTAATGCAGTGCTTTGTCATATTCCTGCATTCAGCATTTTGATGTCTGTTTTAATCTGAAAGAGCTGTTTAACATATACTGTATTTACAGTGCAATAAATTTTGAAAGGGTAAATAATAATAAATATATATTTGGCAAGCAGTATGTATGCAGGTGGTGGTGGAGGCAGTGGCATGTCTACTCTGAAGGCAGTGCCATTTGTGGAGGTGTGAGTGGAGCATATAGTTCTGGGCAAGATAGTGTGTGAAATACCACACTTCCTAGCTTGTGCACTTTTTCATCTCAAGTTGAGATTTTTTTTTGCAAAGACTTAAAATGTTGTCTTGTGAGCTTGCACCTGTTATATGGTAATAACTCATGATTAGAAGTGTTAATTGAACATTTTTTTTTTTTCATAAATTTGCATTAAAAAGTGGAAATATTACACAGTCTTTTAAAACTTTAAATTTTTGACATGAGCTTTCCTAAACAAAACATGAAAGTTTTGTATTGCAACACACATTTTCATTCACTCACTCTGTCTGTAAAGACTCATAATTTTTATAGCCAAATCAATAATTCTTATTAAAATTTCACCACCTGTCCGTTGTTATCCTTGTGTATTTATACATGTGTAGAGGGCTGGAATGCACAATCAATTTAGGTTTAGAAGAAACTATGAAAACTAGGCAGAGTGTGTGTGTGTTTGTGAGAGAGAGTGAGAGTGAAAGTGTGAGTGTGAGTGTGAGTGTGAGTGTGAGTGTGAGTGTGAGTGTGTGTGTGTGTGTGTGTGTGTGTGTGTGTGTGTGTGTGTGTGTGTGTGTGTGTGTGTGTGTGTGTGTGTGTGTGTGTGTGTGTGTGCGTGTGTGTGAGAGAGAGAGAATAAGTGAGTGAGAGTGTGTGTGTGTGTGAGGTTTTCTATTTGTGATTGTCTGTGTGTAGTTCTAGCAGCAGAGTAATGGTTAAGGTGTCTAGTCTTCACTGTTTACTGTATCATCCCAGTACAGAATTCTACGAAGAGAGTTTTGGCAAATGACAACCAGTGCATAATATCGTACCATCTCCAGATCTCTGCAAATTTGGTATTCAGGGTTATCTAGGGCTCTTACGAACCACCGTGTTTGACGTGTGTATACTCATAAATTCTAGTGGCTTCAAATCGAGCAGGAGAAAGCTGGTAGGCCCACATGTAAGAGAATGGGTCTGTGTGGTCAGTGTGCACCATATAAAAAAAATCCTGCAGCATGCAGTGCATAATGAGAAAAAAAACTCCGACCCTTTTTTTTTTTTTAATTAAAATGCCGACTTTGTGGTCTACTTTCATATGGTATTTATGGTTGTATTCTCGTTTTCTTAGTCTCATTTGATAGAATGGAAAACATATAGAAATAGATGTGATTTTGATTAGTTTTGCTATGAAAAGAACCTTGAATTGGAGCTCAAATTAGGGGAAATGTTTGATTTTTGCCGATGTTCAAAAGTAAACAAATGATGTCGTTTTCCAATAAATGTCCAAGTAGCCATTCTAATATGCAGTTATGAATGGGTTGACATTATTTATACAATTATTACAATATTGCAGTAGTCTGCATAACAGTAAACCTTCTATTTTTTGTTTGAATAAAAATTCAAAATAGAAAGCAAGAGTAATATCAGAGGGGCCCGGAGACGTGACTGATGAACAGAGAAAATGTTATTTTAGAGCCAGGAATGTCTGCATTGTTCATTCTGGACCCTGTTTTGAAATTGTCATATTTTTTAATTTTCGTGAAATTGGCCAAATTGCAAATTTCTGACCACGTTATTGGGTAGTTGAAATTGGTAAATGGGCAGTTTCTTGTACTCAGTCGATAGAAAAAATGGAGTTCTAAAGAAATAGCTATGAGTTTGGTCGACTGGAACAATGGAATTGGCCGAAAATAGGGCTCAAAGTGGGCAAAATCGGCGATTCGTAAATATCACCGAGGTCGGTAACCTCGCGAGAGTGTAATTCCATCAGTTTTCCATCAAATTTTGTTCTTTTGGTGTCATTACACTCAGGAAAAGATTCTGTATCATTACCTAAGAATTTTTGTTTTTTTCGGAAATTTTGCAACACCAGGAGACACCTCAGGATTTGGGGTTGCAACAGTCAAGGGGTTAAGTGGAGAGAGGCTGTATTACATAAAAGGTTTCTAAATAGTCTGGATGGAACATTGGTTGAATGCAGAATCACTAATGTACTGATGAATAAATATCTTATTGGAGGGAGACTTTATTAGTCTATTTCTGTTTGTACACAAAAGGTTAATAGTACTTCATGCTGTAAAGGAAAGCTAATGCAGCACAGTATTATAGATGCAGTATTGCATGTATGGTAGTGACATACTTGTAACTGCAGACTGAATAAAATGTAATAATAAGCATAATATATTATGAATGGTGAGTGCAGATGTTTGTCAGGATTAATTAATTGAATAAAAGCATTTTGGTTGCCAGCACAAGGTGTTCTGAAAATACGTTCAGTATGCCAGAGTTTTCTTATTATTACATTATCACATTTGGCTGAAGACCAAGGACATCCTGTGTGGTGGTTCTGTGTCGTGTGTCAGTCAACATTTGTCTGTCTTCTAAAATGTCATCCTTTTATATACTTACCACTAATATACCTTTGTATAAGTTCTTTTTATGGCTGTGTACCCAAATAGTACATGTAAATAGTTTTTTCATGAATGTCGCTTCTTTGGAATGTACTAATTCATATTTGTTAAGCGAAAGGATGTTATGTAGATCTACATCACAGTTGTAACTAAATACTGAACATTATTATTTTTCATTATGAACAGATACTATGTATTATTTTTTCAAGCTGTCAGACATGACAGCTGGAATGGGGCAGTTTTAAATAAAACTGATTCAGAATTCTTTGAAGCCAAAAACTGTTCATACTTAATGCATTAACAGTAGTCCATGATATAACAGACAAATAGGGGGAATTGTCTAAGTGTCTGTTAAATGAGAATGTTAAAAAATAATATAGTACACTGTATAACTAATATGGTACTATACACACAATTTACTGATTTTTTTAATACAACGGCCGTCTCCCACCAAGGCAGGGTGACCTAAAAAAAGAAAGAAACACTTTCACCATCACTCACACAAAATCAGTCTTTGCAGAGGTGCCCAGATATGACAGTTTGGATGTCATTCCAAAGTCATTATCCCAAAACTGTCCTTTAAAGTGCAGGCATTGTACTTCCCACCTCCAGGACTCAAGTCCAGCTAACCAGTTTCCCTGAATCCCTTCACAAAATATTACATTGCTCACACTCCAACAGCCATTCGTGTCCATTGACTCGTATCTAACAAGCTCACACATGCCTGCTGCATGCCTAAGCCCCTTTCACACAAAACTTCTTGTACCCACTCCCTCCATCCTTCCCTAGGATGACCCCTACCCCTTCTCCCCTCCACTACAGATTTATGCACACACTAAGTCATCCTATTTTTCTCTTATCATCTCTAAATGACCAAACCACTTCAATAACCTCTCTTCAGCCCTCTGAATAATACTTTTAGTGACTCTACACTTCCTAATTTCCACACTACGAATTTTCTGCATAATACTTAAACCACACATTGCCCTTAGACACGACATCTCCACTGCCTCAAGTCTCTCTCTCACTGCAGCATTCATACAATCCCTTCTTTGCTTCTATGAATAACTTTTTTTTTTTCTCCACAGATACCTCAGTGCACCACTCATCTTTTTTCCTTCATCAGTTCTGTGATTAACCTCATCCTTCATAAACCCATCTGCTGACAAATCTACCCCCAAATATCTGAACACATTCACTTCTTCTATACTCCCTCCAATGTGATATCCAGTTCTTCTTTACCTAACTCGTTTGATACCCCTCATCACCTTACTCTTATCTATGTTCACTTTTAACATTCTTTACACACAGATATACTGCAATAAAAATTGAAAATAAAAGGAGTAAAAGTACAATTAAACCAGTGAATTTTGCCTATAATTTTAAAAGCCCATTATGTCAAGGGTTTACTGTAGGGCCCTGACTTAAAATGTTTTGATTTAATGAGTTATGACTCGTAGTGAGAAAGATGCCATGTTTGCACTGAAACCTTTGTCACATTGTTTCATCTAGGACTGGACTTTATCAAGTCCGTTATACAAAAACATAGAGATAACAATGCTTAATAAGGCAAATGAGCATCCTGATATCAGGCTCAAGATAATCTGGTGCAATGTGGAGGGTGTTCTGAGGGTCATTGCCCCTGTGGCCCAGTCCATGACCAGGTCTCATGGTGGATCAGGGCCTGATCATCTAGGATGTTGCTGCTGGCCGCCTGCAAACTGCTGTACGAACCACAGTCCGGCTGGTCAGGTACTGACTTTAGGTTCTGTCCAGCTCCCTGTTGAAGACAGCCAGGAGTCTATTGGTAATCTCCCTCGTGAATGCTAGGAGGCAGTTGAACAGTCTTGGGCCCCTGACACTTACTGTATTGTCTCTTAGCATACTCATGGTGCCCCTGCTTTTCATTGGGGGGATGTTGCACCACCTGCTGAGCCTAATGCTTTTGTAGGAAGTGATTTTTGTGTGCAAGTTTGGAACTAGTCCCTTTAGGATTTTCCAAGTGTATATTATCATCTATCATTCTCGCCTGCATTCCAAAGAGTACAGGTCAAGGGACTTCAACTGTTCCCAGTAATTTAGATGCATTATTGTACTTATACGTGCAGTGAAAGCTCTCTGTATATTCTCCAGGTCTGCAATTTTGCCTGCCTTGAATGGGTTCAGAGAAATCAGTTAGCCGGACTTGAGTCCTGGAGGTGTCAAGTACAGTGCCAGCACTCTGAATGAGGGATGGAGATACATTGCAGTTTTCTAACTGTAGTGTAGGTACACCTCTGGCAAGACAGTGATGGAGTGAATGATGATGAAAGATTTTCTTCTTTTTTGGGTCACCCTGCCTTGGTGGGAAACAGCCAATGTATTAACGAAAAAAACAAATATTTATCATATATTAATGACAGGAGTCAGTAATTCCCATTGTTATTTAATATTTAAAATAAGGGGGGTTGAAAAACCTTGGAATCTTTATTTTCATCAGTTATCTGTGTGTACTTATTACACCTCTGCTTTTCATTTAGGTATTTGTGCCTTCCTCTTTCATATGGAAATGTATAGTATATATACATATTTCAAAGGGTAGTTTTGATAGCAATCCTGGCTATATATTTTAGGTGTAAATTACGATACTTTGTGTATCTTTCTTGGCTGCATTCCAGGCACTAAAGTTTGAGTGAGTTTAGGTATATCAAATAATTTAGAAATCTAAATACATAAATATAAAATTTAAT